ATATTTAAGTTAAAGTTTAGGCTAGGATTAGAAAAAAGTAAAATTGCGCGGGGAATTTTTTTGTTAAAACTCTGATATCGGTTTATTAGCCTAAATTTTTGCAAAGCGAACGTCTTTTTACGTTACACCTGACCTTAATTTTTAATTGGCAGATAGACGTCGGAGGATCGATGGCATTGTTATTGTCTAATTACCTAAAGTTTGTTTCCAAGTGCCATAATTCCTTCAACTACAGCCTATTTTTGAAGCAAACCATCTATTTGTTTGGTTAAGAAAATATTTGTCTTTTGAACTTTATAAATTTAGAATTATTAAAGTTAGCACTCGATGATCCAGAAACGTTATAGTGTCAAAGTATTTTATTTTTTTGCTTTGATTGAAATAGAATTTATGAAAGATTTTGAAATTTTCGATTTTTGCGTTTAACGCAGCATGATACACTTTTGCAGTTTACTGGTTACTACAAATCCATCAGAGGAATTACATTAATTTCAAAATCGAAACCAATAACACCCCAACGGGCATACAAATATTGATATTAAAAACGATGTTTTTTATGAATTGTTATCGATTCTTCGCTTCTTCAACACGCCGTTTTGCACTTCTATGTTAGAAATTGATATTAATAAAATTATTACCGTTTATAAAATTATAATTGATGAGGTTTATACTGACCCAATGTTTTAATGTAGTCTTTGACCTCTATAGAGGGTCCAATCTTTAATCCACACAGTTGCAGGTCATTTTTTTTTTAATTTGATAAATGATCGACCAGTAATCTCTTCATCCTGGAGATGCGAAACAAAAATCATCAATGATAGTTAATTCTTTAAATTCGCCGTCATTCTTTAGAAATTCGATTAAAATTTCCGTATTATTTCGCTTTAATGCGGCACCGGAAGTAGAGCCTTCAATTCTTTCATCATGATATCGGCGTTTGTCAGTACGAGCGTTTTCGATATTTTCGCCATCGTTGTAAACAGTAGATGGTCTAAAACACAATTCCATCTCTTGACCGTTGTCGTTAACCTTCATACCATCATCTTTGTATGCTTCATAAAAATTTTCGGCACCGTCTCGTGTTTCAAAATGTATGTGACCGAAACTAAAGTTTATTGATGATAGTATTAAATTTCTATTACAAAGTAAATAAAAAATAAATAAATAATTTTATGCTCACTTTTTGTTGAGTTTTTTCAAAATATGAATTTTTTTACCGTTGGTAAATGGAGAAACCAACGTTCTTAGTTTCGACCCGGTTACATTTTCTAAAACGCCGCGACTTCCTGCAACAAAGACCGAACATTCTTTCGGACAGCAAATGCCTCGCCGGTTGTTTTCTAAGATGAGCGTAAATCCAAAAGAATATCAGTACGACTTAAGAATATGCATTATGTATATAGAAAATTAATAGAGCATAGAATCGAATTTATGTTCACATAAACAGTATACGAACAAAAAAAAAATGTTATCACGTTTATGTGAACAAACAAATCGATCCTACTCTCTAGTGTTGTTCGTAGAAGTTTCTTTGGCTGTTACAAAGGAAGAAGTAAACTAACGACACGACACGACATGACATGACATGGCTGTTTTACGAAGAAAGACGTAACAAAGAATTTCGTGACGCCTGGAATATATTGGGCACGAACGAACCGCAAGGTACGAACGATAAAACGATACGACACGAAAGTTCCGTGGCTGTTTTACGAAGGAAGACGTAACAGATTCCTCATCCAGAACCAGTTGACCTTCACCAAAGAATTTCATGACGCCTGGAATCTATTGGACTCAACGATACGAAACGAACGACACGAACGAGCCGCAAGGTACGAACGATAAAACGATACGACACGAAAGTTCTGAGGCTGTTTTACGAAGGAAGACGTAACAGATTCCTCATCCAGAACCAGTTGACCTTCACCAAAGAATTTCATGACGCC